ACCTGCATCCTGTTGGCTTCAGCTCATCTTTTATTCTTTATTCAGGTTGGAGAGCTGCAGGTTGTCAAAGATCAGCTGTGATTTTCTGGGCTCAGCTCTGAAGTCCAACAGCCTCCATCTGACAGAACTGGACCTGGGAGAGAACAACCTGGAGGATTCAGATGTTCAGCAGCTGAAGGATCTTGTAGAGACTTTAAAGTAAGTAAATGTTTGTAGTGAGTCCAGCTGCTGTTAGCATATTGAACTAAACCCAGTTAGCATCAAAGCAAAGCTCCAGTGTTCCCAGTAAAGCTGCAACTTCTCAGTGGGAGGAGAATGGTTCAGGCTTCCTGATTGGACACAGAGACAGCAATCAGCCAATGAGAGGAACAGCAGCTTGCTGTGTTCCTGTGTTTGTGTTGGTGTGAAGATGTGTTGTTGCTGTGTCCATCTCTCCAGGACGTCCAGCTGGACTCCAGCGTCCAGCCGTCCAACATGTCTAGAGACATTCATCAAACTGTGGCAGCAGCAGATCTGATCTCAGATCTGCTTGTTCTCTCAGTTCAACAGGAGAAAATTTATCAGGTTCATCTTGGTCACAGCTCTGAGATCAGTCTGACTGCAGCCTGGAAACCATCCTGGATGTGCTGCGTCACTGACTGCTGCTGGAGAGGCTGGAAACACTCACTCATCTGATCTCTCCTTCCTTCTTCTCTCTGCAGGATCTGATCTCTGTAGAGAATGGTCTCTGTGTCCTGCTGATCCTCAGAGGTTGAAGCTGCAGCAGTTTGAGTCAAAAGAATCTCTGACTGGATCATGACGATGACCTCTGGCCTCCAAGATTTTCCTCCTGTTTATTTTCTCATGTCTGTCATTTAGTGTCTGATATTGTTTGTCTCTTTGGATTAATAAAGATCAAATTCAAACTGGGCTCCATTTAGAGGCTTCATGGAGTTTTGATCTGAACTGGATTCAACTGGAAAGTTGATCTTTTTTCTCTGATTCATTTTCATCCTGGAACCAGAAATGGTCTGAGATGGAAACATGGGAATCATTTCAGTTAAACTTTGAATCATAAAGACACTTCAAACCTCTTTTCTCTGCTGCTTCTTCTGCTGACAGGAAAATGTTCCTCAAAGTTCCACAGATAAAAAGATGATTTACTGGAAACTGCAGAGAAACTTTAGCTTCCATCACAGAAACCAGTTTAACCAGTTTAGAACTGGATGTCCCACAGAAACTGATCTTAGTTTTCAGGAACATCCAGCATTTATCTGATTAAAAAAAGGTTTTGTATATTTTAATGTTTTTATACTATAAAATGTAAATAATGAAGTTTTGCATCATCATTGATTCTCAGTCTGTTTTGTTTTTTTCCATTTTTACCTCCATGTTTCATGTTTTCAGTTTTCTAGAGAACTTTAGGACTCGATGTGTCACATCAGGCTCTTTACTGAGATTCACTGATTTATTCAGACCTCAGAGAATCACTGGGATAATGTGCTGATTGGTTCATGTTTGATTTTATATTTATTCTAATGTAATGTGGGTTGCTGTCTGTTTAATGAGCAATAAAGTTTTTAATAACATT